CTTGGGAGATACAAAGAGAATCTGGGCCCAGCAGCAATATCAGTCTCTGAAGGAAACGGAAGATAGAAGTGGAAAATAGAGGATTTCAGTGCAAGTGGGAAATCGATTACTTATTTCTTGAAAATAATAATAATACTTACATTTGAGATAGCACCTTATCATGTCATCGATGCATCTCAAAGCGCTTCACAGAATATATTGTAATTTGGCTTGACTGTGTATTATGTGGGTGAACCGTGGCAGGCAATTGCGCACAGCAGTGTCCCATAAACAGTCGTGGATTGAGTGACCAAATGATTATTATTATATTTTTTAAGGGATTTTTACCACAGGAAAGCCAACCATGTGGGAAGGGAGAAGGGGGAGGGGGTGAAAAACAGCCCAGGTTGGATGGCTGAATTCACATTGGGTAGGTTTCAATCTCTCCCTAATGGACAATCTCAGTGCCTTGTTTGCTTGCAAATAATATGTGTTGAAGGATTTCAACATCAGAAGACACTACAACACACAACACAAGACAAAATACAACAAATATACTGGAAAAGCCAGCTGCAAAAGCACATTTTTACCAAAGCTGCAACAATTGAAACTGCAAGTCTGACTGTATCTTACGAGGTCTGTCTCCAGCTCGTGAAGTTTAGGACATCATTTAGAGATGGTGAAATGGTAAAAAATTGTACAGCCAAAATGGCTTGTGCATTTGGTTGTGTAAAATAGCCAATAATTTTTAAAGTGTAGCACTGTCTCACCAAATTGTAGCAAGGCAAATAAGTGTCATGAACGAACATGTGAATACACAGCTCAGGACAATTGTTGAAAAATGTAACTACTTCTCATTAGCTCAAGACGAGAGGACTTACGTTACTGATATCAGTCAGCTATTTTCATCAGAACCATTGATAAAAATGTTGTTGTTCATGAAGAATTACTTGAATTAATTCCTCTGAAAACTGCTAAAAATGAGGTTGGATATTTAGAAGGTTCTTACTTCAACTGTCAGTAAATACAATGGATTTCAGAAGTGTTCCTGCATCGTGACGGATAGTGCAAAATCGATGACTGGCTGTAAAAATGGTTTGGTAGGTTTGCTGAAACAAAATGGAATTGAATGTATTGCCTTCCACTGCATCAAACACCAGGAGTCCCTTTGCGGAAAACCAGTGAAAATGAGTAATATGATGACTCATGTCATCAAAGTGATTTACTGATTTTGAGGGTCTGAAGTCCAGCTATTCAACAATCCGATGGAGGTATCGATTGAGCAGCAACCAAAAGATCTTCACATGGAGATGTGTGAACTGTAGGATGACCCTTTGTTCTTCTCAAGGAAGAATAAGATTCACGAAAACTTCTAAACAAGGATTGTTTTCCTAAATTAAATGACTTTGTACTGAAGATGTGTTCTATGTTTGCAAGCACATACATTTGTGAAAGCACGTTTTCTACAATGAAACATGTTAAGTCCAAACATCGCAACAGGTTTGATAGCGATAGTTCTTGATTGGTTCAAGAGAAACATTTTCCACAGTGTTCACACTGAGACATTTAATGGTCTTCCAAGTGTCAAGAAAATGTATGTTAAGTAAAATAATTTGATTATATGTAGATGTAGATTATATTCAAAATAATCTTTATTCACAGTTATCTTTATTGTGTTCCTTTGTTAGTTTTGCAATTATGGATTGATCTATTAGGGTTTTGTTGAGCATTCTCTGTTGGGGCCTCCATGTGCTGAGTTGACATCTTGCGTTTTGACTTTTAATACATTAAAATAATTGTTGCATTCATTTCCATTTGAGATGATCATTATTAAGTAATACAGTCAGACAATTTAAAACATGGGATGTCTATATGTTTCTTTATGTTTCTGGAAGGGAACAACAAAAATATTGCTTATGCAGCCCGCGGACATCTCTGACATGTGAAATCCAGCCTTCGATACCAAAAAGGTTGGACCACCCTGTTGTAAATAATGATTCCCAATGGAAGTCAGAGGGCATTATGCTGACACCTAGGACTTCGGGTGTGTAGTTCCTGCAGCAACCTGACACACTTACGCTTAATGACAACAGTAGCTAAATGTGGCTTGGAGTTGCCATTTGTGAATCTGTTTCTGTGTATGAGTGTAGGATATTGTGAAAGTTAACTGAAAAGTACAACCCTTCAGTTAAAAATGTGTTGCAATCTTCTGCTTTGTATATTATTGTAATCTTAGATTATTGGTTTCATGGTTTAATAGACTTTTGCTTTGAGTCTTAAAGCTGATTAAACACCTGGACTCCTGCCACAATACAGAAGCTGTACTCTTTCCATACACTGGACTTTCAGACATTTAGCTAAAGACGACCAATATTTATTTTAAAAAAACTACCAAAATTTAATACATGAAGACTGAATTTGAGAGTTTTCCAAAAAATTCTGCTTTTTTAAATTTTTTTAAAAAAATGTCAGGGTTTAGGTCTAAACCTAAGACCTTGAGGAATTTCAGGCCTGTGAACTTGGTATTGGCTCACACCATGTTACCAAATTAAAGAGAGCTCAACACCCCCACATGGTGAACATCATCTGTAATAGATTACAGAAAAAAGTGGCTCCTGATTTCGTTTAAGTGTCTGATTCCATTGACCAACACTGAATGGTAGATTCTGCTTTTCTCCTCCTCCTGCTGAATCCTGTCCCTCGGGTAAAGACAAAAGGCTGAGAACTGTTGAGCAACAGTTCCTGAAAGAACTCAATTTCTGTAAGAAAATCCCTACCTTTAACCCTGTAAAGTATCTTAAACATTATGGTTGCTCCCAGACTAAATAAAAGATGCTTTCTGCATATATCCAATTAAAGACCGGAGATGGACCTAATCATCTCCTGTATATTTACCTTTCAAAGGCAGAATAGAGATCTTTGTCTACTTCATCATATGATCAATTCATCAAACAGATTGATGTTAATTGGTTCATGGACATCAGTACAGAATTTTTTGGAGGTCTGCTGACTGTTTTCTTTGTTGTTTAATTTTAAAAACTATTCAAGTAACTTCAAATACTTCATTTACAAAGAAATAAGCCATCACACAAAACCACTGATAGTACATCAGTTATTTAGAACAACATAATTTGAATATTGCACTTTTTACACTACAGTTTTGTCTCCAAGGTCAACTAGTAGTATAAAGCCTCCAGTTTTCGCAGCTAAGACCTGACTCTTGAGTTGGATGTCCTATTATCTCCCTGTAGAGAAGATCTGACTCAATAGTGAACATTCAGTGCTGGTGTGAGTGGAAATAACTGTGTTCTCTTCATGGTACCTTATACCCTGCATTTAAAAAAAATTCCTATAATTTCCAGCACTTTGGGATATCCTCCCAAAGTGAAAGGCAGTATACAAATGTAATTTGTTATTGTTATTTATATTGTCTTCTGTTAGAAAACACAGTTGCTTTTCTATTCAATTTTGCCCCTCTTGCTTGTCCATTGTTCTTCATTAAACAATGACCAGCTCATTTGAATCTGATGCCAGGCTTTTAAAAAACACTTTACTGTGTGGCATTGCCTTCAAATGTTTGCTCCAAAAAACGCTAAAGTATTTTCCACTTAATTTTTTAAACACATAAGACACCTCCATGAGGTGCTAGCCCCCAGATTTGCAACATTTGCATGTGGGTCACCATGGCTCAGTGGTAGCACTCTCCGTGTCAGAAGGTTGTGGATTCAAGTCCTTCATCAGGGGTTTGAACTCACAGTATAGGATAATAATTCATTACAGTGCTAGGGATGTGGCCACTGTATTGTTGGGGATCCCACCCTTAGGATGAGATGTTAAACTGAGGTCTCCCTTTTCCAGAGGTAATAAACCCTTTCAAAAAATAATATTAATTTGGTCACTAAATCCACGGCTGTTTTTGGGACATTGCTGTACACAATTGGCTGCAATGTTTCGGCCACAAAAATATGCAGTCAATTTACTTTACAGTATACTGTGTGAAGCGCTTTGAGATGTTTCGAAGACGTGATAAGGTGCTATAGCAAATGCAAGGATTATCATTATTAAAAATCCCACTACTCAAAAAGAGAAGGGAGTTTCTCCTAGTATTCTGGTCAACGATCCCTCAAGTAAAATTAGTTATTCACTTCATGGGTAAATTCACTACATTATTTAAGTATGATTAAAATCAGTGTTAAAATTTAGTAAATTGTACACTTAATGTGTACAAAATGTCTGCCACACTCACCCGTAAAATGCAAAGTCACTACACTTTATAATACATACTATAAAGTGCTCTGTCATCCTCCTGATGGGAAGGTAATCAGATCAAAACCGGATTATTATCACCATCATTAAAACTGGAAATAGTGCTTTGTCTTTTAGCATCTATATTTTGCAGTGAAAATAATTTTTTAGATGACGATGGCTTCATTTAGAAGGGTAGTCCAATTTGTGGCTTTTTTATTCATGAATTAATTTTATCACTTGCCTGTATTACTGCCTCTCCTTTGCAGCCTGGCGATCACCAATGAAAGGCCAGTTCCTCCTCTGGAATTCACATACATACACTCATTTGTCAAGAGCATAATCATAAATATTGTTCCCCCGTGCTTCATTTTGGATTACTTGAATACCTTTGACACTGATTTTAATCATACTTAAATAATGTAGTGAAATAGTTTTATGTTAACTTTGGATTATCAAGCAACTGCCCAAACAGTACTGAAGACAGTATTGATGTATAGTTGAAAAGTGAAAACTATTAAGCTCTCAGTGAACACCATTTTGTACAAGAAATTTTTGCTGTCTGTCATTCAGTAGCTTGGAGCAGTCTTAAACATTTGGAAAATAGTGACAGCATTTGCTTTCATGCAAATGTAGTTTATCAGTAATTTGCTTTAACCTGTATGCCATCCAATTTTATTTAATCCCGATTTTCCTGCCCTTTAATTCCCAGGAAGAGTTTGCTAAGAATGATCCCGATTGTTGACATTTCTTTGATTTGGTTTGTGTGTTCTCAGGCACAGGAGAAAGTGGTAAGAGCACTTTCATCAAACAGATGCGAATTATCCATGGGTCGGGCTACACTGATGAGGACAAACGTGGCTTCACAAAGCTGGTCTATCAGAACATCTTCACTGCTGTGCAAGCCATGATTAGAGCGATGGATACTCTCAAAATACAGTACAAGTATGACTACAATAAGGTAAGCCACTTTTACAGCTAGTTTTTACAGTTCTTTCTACTATTATTAGTTTGAGTAATCCAATAAAATTTCAACCAGTACCAGATTGAAATCTGCAGTAGACATTCTAAATTAATTGCCCTGTTTGATCTAATGCCGCCTGCAACAATTAATAAAAATTGAACTAGGCTCCATATTTCACTGCCATTGAAATGCTTACAGTGGCTGTCAACCCAATAACCATGTTTATTCTCACATAGTTATATCACTGAAATGTGACAGTTGAGCTACATGATGTTATTTTGTTTTGTGAATGGAAAAGAGCAGTTTTTGACTTTTCGTAATTCATTCTAATCTGAAACTGTTAGTTCAGATTGGCTTAAATGTTGATCTGAACCTATCTGAGCCCACAAAATAGGATAAATGTAGCTCTTCTCCAGAGAAGTTAAACTTGATGCCCCACCTGCCTGCCTGTGAAGGAGAACATTAAAAGATCTTATGGAAAATAGAAAGGAATATCACCTGTTTTCCTGGACAACAACTATCCCCCAAACAGAATTGGTTACTCACTTCATCGATGTTTGTAGGATATTGCTGTGCACAAATTGGCTGCTATGTTCACTTATAAATACAGTCATTATATTTTACAGTAAAATCCTGTGCTTTACGATATCACGGCAACATAAAACACTATATCAAATGAAAGGATAATTATGAAAGATTTTGTTCAATTTATGCTATTTCTGGACATTGCTGTATGGAAATTCGCCTACAAAATACAGTGTCACAAAACTTTACAATAAAATTCCTGTAAAGTGCTTTGAGATGTCCTCCCGACATGAAAGCTGATTAATATCAGATGAATGGATTATTTTATTTTAACTTATGTCACCGGATTAGGACATGATGAGATTCCCTCATCAACGCAGTATCACAATTTGTAAAATCAACAACATATCAGTAAAATAAATCTCTTTGAGTCCTATCTTTTTTGATGGAAATGGTTCAGTGCTTTGAGACATCCTCCCGACATGCAAGGCGCTCTATAAATGTAATTTTGTTGTTGTGTTGTTGAGTGGGTTCTTTAAATCAAGCCAACTCTCTTTGGACATGCCTTTAAGGCAGAGTTTAAATAAACTTGCATTCAAATTTATATCTAATTTGCATTTTGTTGAAGCAATAATATAGTGACGGAGATTTTATTCATAAAATGGTTTGGGCAGGAAGGAGACCAAGAAATGTACAGAGATATGGAGGCAATGTCTAGCACATTCATATTAGTTAGTCTATGTATTTTATTCCGCCTCCATCTGTACCTCATGTATTTTGCCCGCCTTTGTCTGTACCTCACAACCAAGCAGTTGAAACCCTCGTACACGCCTTTGTCACTTCCCAACTGGGCTATTTGCATACCCTCCTTGCTGGTCTCCCCAGCTCCACCATACACAAATTCAATTTATCCAATACTCACCCGCATAAAACTCTGTACTCCCATCAGATCAATCCTTGCCAGGCTCCACTGGCTCCCAGTTACTGAACAAATCGATTTAAAAATCCTCTCACTCAATTTCAAATCCCTTCATGCACCTCCCTACCTATCCAATCTGCTTACACCCTACTCCACCACCTGCTGCCTCCGTTCGTCTGGCTCCAGTCTCCTGTTTGTCCTTGTCCCCTCCCTCCACCATTGGTGGCCGTGCCTTCAGCTACTATGCCCCAAAACACTGGAACTCTCTCAGTCAATACCTCCACCTTGCCCCTTCCCAACCCACCTTCAAATCCCGCCTAAAGACCTTTTTGATCGTGCTTACAGTCATCTCCCCTCTCCCTCTGGCTTGGTGTCAAATGCTCCGGGACGCTATCCCGCGTGAAGGGCTCTATATAAATGCATATTGTTGTCGTTGTTTATTCATCCTTGTTTGCAACTGATTTTTGTTGCTTTGGTATATTAAACTAGTAATTGTGTGACTTAAAGGAAACGACTAAAATCCTGTTAATTTCAGTTGAGTGTTTGCTGCATTAATATCATACAACTTTGCCATTTTTATTGTAGACTGCGGAACCTAGTTTTGTGATCTCCTGGGTTGAACCAATGCTCATTAAAAATGTGGATGGAGATTAATGGGACAATATTGTAAAAAGAAGCCTTGCTGTTATTTTTTTGCAGATGAATTCAGGCACTTTTGGCCAGTTTCCATATGATCCTATGTTGTTGGGCTGAGTTGTGCAGAGTTGTTAGGAATTTCTTTTGGTGAGAATGCAAATGTCTGTGTGTAAACATAAGGTCAATGCAAGGGAAACTGAAATGCAGCAGAATTGGGAATCGGACAAGAAATAGACATGTTTTAAATGGTTTCAAATTTCTGATCTGGACCAAGCAACAAGGGACAGCAGTTTTTATCTGTTCGGGAAAATGGTTATTATTGGAACCACATTGTTTTTTGGGCGTATATTTCCACAAGTATATTTTTTCTCGTGTTGCCAATGTTCCTCATTCAACCAAATTCACAAAAAAAGGGGTCATTTCTTCTGCTTGTTGTTTGTAAGACATTGCTGGCAAATATTAACTGCTGCTTTTACCTATTTTACATTCACTACATTTCCAAATGTTTTGAAATGCTGCAATGTGATAACACATTATTTCAAATGTTTTCAATTTTTTATTGAGTGTAAAATGATACTTCAAGTTTGATTTTGTTTTACATATTATCCTTAACAGTCATCCTTAAATGTACTTTGCTTTGCACATATTGCCTTTTGAATAGCTCCTGAGTGGGAGGAAGATTGAACTGTACAGTTTTTAAGTGAAACTGTCGTTCTTTAGCTCGCATATCGTTGTTCAATGTATGTACTTTTCATGTGGTGAATATCAAAGCAGAATTATAAAAATATGCAAAGCTACATGATACGCTTGTTTTGTAAAGGAGCTGTTTGATACGCATTTGTCCCAGTTCAGTTTTTTTAAACTAAAAGATACTGTCGAAATGATTACATTTAGGGTTTCCCAGCAACAGGATTTATTTGTTCCACCAACTTAGCAATCTTTTAAAACAAAAGCTTTGTGTTTGGAAAATGAAAAAGTTGAGGTATGCAAGTTTGTTTATGCTGTGAATCTTGTACTGGATATAAGTGTACTGTGTTGGTACATCTGACGAGACCAACAGTATGAGAAAGGCAGGCTGTCAGATAAGAGTATTGGTAAAATGTAGTGTTATTTGGGTCTCTTGTTTTGCAGTTTGGAGGGCCTTGAGTACTGTGTGTCGTGGATGGTTGTTACAGAAGTCTAGTAATCAATTTGAAATGTGCTGCAGTAACTTCTCTGCCCACCCTCATCCCAACCCCGTGCCCCCACGCTCGGGTTCTGATCCCTGACTATTCAGAGCCTTAGGATGTCCTCCCGACGTGAAAGGTGCTTTACAAATACACTTTTGTTGTTGTTCTGTGTTAAAGGGATTCCTGAATGATTTTTTTTAAAAGTGTGGTCTGTATGGCTCCTCATCCATGGAAGGTGACTTAGTCTCACTTGAGCAGCTTCAGAAATGTAGCTACTTTCTCAGCACAATCCGCTATGTGTTCAATCCTACACCAATGCCGAAATGGGGATAAATAACAGGAAATCCCTTGTGAAGAGCTGCTGTCAATAAGCAAATGAGAGGAGTTTTCTGTTTGACCAAATTAGAGAAACCTACCAGACAGCACAAATGGGTCATTCTTCACAGTGTAAAAAGTTGAAGGGAAAAGGTACAAAGTTCTATTAAACATTTTCCAAAGCTCCCCGATACCTGTTTTTTTCCTCAAGCCTAAATTTGACTTGTTCAAGAAGCAAAACTTTTACTCAAACATTAACCAAAATCAGAAGACTAAGATCCCTGATCATATGCAGATGAGGAGTTGCTGCTGGGTAGGGAGGAACCAGAACTTGTTAATATTTATACGACACATGTATCTACAGGTTACACTGGAATAGCTTCCATCTCCAGCTCGCCACTGCTGGAACTCCTACTTTATTCGTCAAAATGTACTAGTCTGTCAGACCTGCAATGTTTCAAACTTTCATGAAGCACTTGCTCTCAATGTATGGTGTATTATTTAATCCATTTATTGCTTAAATGGATTTTTCCCCCTTTGCTGAGCATGTAACCATGCAGCGCCTTGGGACGTCCTCCCAACGTGAAAGGCGCTCTATAAATGTAATTTTGTTGTTGTTGTTATCAATCTCCAGCCTCCTGGTTCATAAACATTGATTTGTGTGACTGAAATTCCCAAACATCAGTCTGTTCTCATTTAAAATGTACACCAAACTAGTTATAGAATTTGCTTTCTGTAAGAGCAACTTGCATTTCTATTAGTGCCTGTCAGGTAGGATGTCAGACTCAGAGCATTTAACATATATAATAGAGAGCACAGAGCAGGAAAATAGGAGCTTTAAGGATGTTGATAAAAAGCAGAGTCAACGAGAGATGATTTTAGGATGGTTTTGAAGGTAGGAAGAGAGGAAGCAAGGCAAGGAGATTTGTAAAACAACAAATCACCTTCCTATTTTTAAAAAAACATTTATACCAAATACATTAATGTAAAAAAGTAGCATTTTTCATTATACCATTTACAACCAAATTCCAAAGATTTTTCTTTTTGATCAGCCAGGTGTCTAACATATGTGGAAACCACCACCCCCCCACCATGCTTAAGACTATCGAGACTAGACTGAGATCCACATATGTATGCCAGTTACTCATACAACACCAACTACTTGCATTTAAGTAGTGCCCTTCACGCACAGGACTTTCTCTAAGAATCTTCCTGTTTTATGTGAGTGTGAGTGAACCATTGGACAGATGGTACTGCAGAAAGTATTGGCTAGTTTGACTAATGATAGGCATGTTTTCGTTTTCTGGCCACTTTTATATTGGCAGAGGAGTGAAGCCAAAGAATTCCATTCACGTGTCTCACTTTTCTCAACTGAGTATGGATAAGACAGAAGCCATCCTCCTCAGTTCCTGCCAGTATCTCTATTTTTCTGG